TACACGCTTGTGTTTTTTTGTATTATGAGCTTTTTAAAATCTCTCATATTTTTGTTTCTTTGTAGTTGAGTGTTTTTAAGCAGAACCCACTACCACTATTATGGCTATGAAGAAGATGATGGGCCACGTGTTGTGCTTACTGCCGTTTTTCCTGTACTGCGTATGTGGAAGTGTGATGGCTAGTTATGATATTATGCATCCTCCATTTCCTGGTGGTCCTGGTGGGATTCTTCAGCCTGCTGTGCCTGGTGGTGGTATTCTTCCTAAACCTGTAGGACCTCCCATTGGTGGAATTCCTGGAGGTGTTAATCCTCTTCATCCTCGTCCTCCTCCTGGTGGTGTTCTTCCTGGTGGTTCTCATGGTGTTGGTAGATCTCCTCTTCAGTCTCCTGTTGGTCCTCTTGCCGCACAACATGGGCCTCACTCGACCTTTGCTGCTCATCGAGATCCATGTGCTAATCCTGGTGTGTCTTGTCCTGGTGGTGTTCCTGGTATGGTTGGTCCTGTTCCTGGTGCTAATGGTTTCCCAAAGACAATTCCACCTCAGTTACTTCCTCAGCATAAACCTGGTCCTGCAGTTAAACCTGCTGTTCCTGGTCCCGCTCGTCCTGCTGGTCTTGCCGGTTCTCATGATTCTTATGGTATGCCTCTTTCACCTCAACTTAATGGTGGTAATATTCTGCCAGGAGTTGGTGCTGGTCAACGTGTTGTGCCTCCTGTATCTAATAAGCATGAGAAACATCCTGACGAATCCAAGGGTATTACTAAAGGTGATAATGGTAATGTTGTTACTGAGAAGAAAGAGGACAAGATGGCAAAAGTGGTGGAAGGAGAATTGGGTGAAAGTTCACAAGGTCATGGTCGTGGGAATAAACGTCAACTAGAAACTGTCCTATCTCCTGTTTCTCCTGTAAAAGGTGTTAGTATCAGTCAGCCTAGTGATGACAGGGCACAGAAAAAGGAAATAGATTCTTCTGACAGCAACCACAAAGGTGGATCAGGTGTGATTGGAACTAAAGGGCAACAAGAACAGATAAAGGAAACCACACAAGGTCATCAACAAGATAATCACAATACAGAAACAAATGTCGCAGGAAGAGCAAGTACAGAATCCCACGTTACTGCTGACTCAAAACCACATTCTACTACAGATGCATCACCTAGTGAAATAACTCAATCTGGTCTATCTACTGATGATTCAAACACACTAAATAACACGGGTACAGATCCTAACAGTACCACTGATAATGTGACAACTACAGAGAACGAATCAACAAATGGTGTGGCTACTGTGGGTGTATCAGCAGAAGGGAACACCACAGCGAACACGACCTCTGTCACTCTCAATACCACCAGTAACGAGGTATCAACTTCACCTACCACCAACACCACCACCAATACAATTCCTCCTATCCCTGCAATCAGCAATAACACCATAATGCCAAATTTAAGGGGTGATGCAGACAGCAGCAGCAGTATCAGCAGTTCTGTGTGGGTGCGTGTGCCACTACTGATTGTGGTTACACTGGCCTGTATTCTTGTGTGTTGATTGTGTGGTGGTGTGACTCAGGTCATCCTTTGTTTTCTCTTTTCTTCTCTTTCCATACATCCCTACAGTTTAACTAATCTTCCACCTGTTTGGATTT